GCTGTGTTCCTGGAGGAGGAGCTTCCGCCCGCTGGGCTGGACGCTGGAGGCCTGGGGGCAGGCAGCCTGGGCTGGCCAGCCTCTGGCCACAGAAGCTCCATGGGGGCAGGGGGGGGGGGAACCCCTCCTTAGGAAAGAAATCTCACTATTTGCATCTCACAGATGGGGAAACCAAGGCCCACAAGCCGTCTATGTGGTGCCCCCTGAGTTAACCGGCAAGCCAGGCAGCGACAGAGGACAGCCTGGGGGCCCGAGAACTCTGCCTCCCAGGTGAGAGACTTCCTTGGCTGTGTGACCTTGGGCGAGTAACTTAACATCTCTGAGCCTCACGTACCTCTCGGCGCATGGCTAACAGGAGCTACATCACAGGGCTGCTGGGAAGTCAGTGGCTCATGCACCATCTGGTTTGCACGGAGCCTGGCATAAAGCAGGTATCAGTACATATCAGATATTATTATTATTATTATTAGAGCACATGGCCGTCTGACTGCACCCTCTGCCTGCTCTGTGACCAGCAGCCCAGCCCCCTCCAAGCTGAGGGGAGTGAGAGTGGAGGTAGGAGATGGCAGAGGGTGGGCCCCAAGGGGTCACACCTTGCCCCTGTGCCTGACACCCTCTGTGACCTTGGAGGAGTCTCTCTCTCTCTCTCTCTCTCTCTCTCTGTCTCTCTCTCTCTAGCCTCAGGCTCTTTGTTCTGGATGCATCTAAATGCGGGTGCTGCCTGCTGTGTGCTGCGGAGGAAACAGCCCTGGAAGGGGCCGGGCGCCCCTGACCATCCCCAGGAAGGCCTGAAGCTCTGCCCTCTGCCCTGCCAGGCAGCCTGGCAGGAAACCCCCATGGGGACCGAGAGCCCAGGGCTGCCCAGGGCTGCCCACTGGTGGCCTCTGCCCTGGCCCCTGCAGGAGTCCTCCCACGCCCTCCTCCCCTGCTAACCAGGGACCGAGCCCCTCCTGCCCCCCTACTCTGCTCTCCCTCCGGAGCCAGCCGCGCGGCTCCCCAGCAGGCCCAGCAGGGTGGAGGCGGCATGTGTCAGCTGGTGTTCAGGCTCTGGTTGTGCGCTCACATCGGCCCCCCCATCTCCCCAATCCACCCACCCACCCACCCTTTACCCACTGCTCCGGCCTTCTGGGCGGCAGCGCTGGCGGGGGGCGGCAGAGCAGCGCCCCGCGCCCTTGGCCTGCGGGGTAGGCGGGCTGACTCACTCGCTCGGTCCCCTCTCCGGTCCCCTCCCCGGCGCCCATGGGGCAGCCCTCACGCCCATGGGCGCTGGCACCCGTCAGGCCCCCGGGTTTGGGGAGAGGAAGCTGCCGCCCCGCGCCTGCCCCGCGCCGGCTGGGGATGCGCCCCGCGCGGAGGAGATGCTCCGCGGCGACCCCCCGGGGCGGGCTCGCTCCCGCGCCGCCTGCGGGCTCTCCTGGCCGCGGGCCGCCGGCGCCCCTCCCCGGCCGGGCGTCCCCGCGCAGCATTGCCTCGCTGCACCTTTAAGAGCCGGGCGGCGGGCTGGCGGCCACACGGAGGAAGTTACGCAGCCCGATCGGACCGGGAGATAAAAGCGGCGGCGCGATGGCAGGCGGACCCTGCAACTTGGAGCCGCGCGCAGGGGGACCCTAGCGCCCCGCCGTCTGGCCCGCGCCCGCGGGGGATGCCCCGGCGCCCCGGGGACCAGCCGCCCAGCCCGCCGGGGCCGCGGGCCGCCGGGCGCCCGGGCGCGGGGCCCCTCCGCGCCGCCCGCGGGGACCCAAAAGTTTGCACTTGTTAGCGGCGCCCTCCGCGCCGGGCGGCGGGCGATGCGGGCGGCGCGGGCGGCCCCCGGCCCCGGCCCGCGGCTCCGGGACGGCGGCGCGCGGCCCCCCCGGCGGCCCGAGGGCTCCCGGGCTCCGCGCTGACGGCGGCGGCGGCGGCATCGGCGGCGGGAGCGGGAAGGAGCGCGGCCTGCAGCCTCCGCCCTCCCCCCAGCGCCGCCCGAGGGAGGCGGGGCGCGGCGGGGCGTCCTCGGTCCTCGGTCCTCCGTCCTCCGTCCTCGGCCTCCGGGGCTCCGCGCGGGCAGCGCTCCGAGCCGAGCCGGTAAGGCGGGCGGGGAGCCGGTAAGGCGGGCGGGGAGCCGGGAGGCGCGGGGAGCGGCTGCGGCTTCCAGGGCTCCGCCGCCGGGCGGGCTCCGGGGCCGGGCAGACGCCGCCGGCGGCTCGGAGGCAAAAGTTATTCAGCGGCGGCCGCGGCGGGGCGGGCGGAGGGGGTGCGGGGCGCACGGCAGCGGCGCCTTAGGGGGTCGCTGGTCTGGGGGCCGGCTTTCCCCGCCCGGGTCTCTCTCCAGCGTGTGCATATGTGTGTGTGCATGTGCGTGTGTGTGCGTGTGTGTGTGCATGTGTGTGTTTGGATCCCAGGGGTGTTGCGAGAACGCCTGGGTGTGTTTGCAAAGAGGAAACTAACCCTTCCCTGCAGCCCGCGCCCCCCTCGCCGCTCCCCTGCACCCGGGACTGGGAGCTGCGGGAACTCCGCCGCCCGGACTGGAAACTTCTTTCCCGCAGGGGCGGGGCGGGGCGCGGAGGGGGCCCGGGGCACCTAAGAGGGGCCTCGGACGGCGGCGCCGATGGGGGCAGGAGCCGCGGGACGGCGGGAAGAGGACGGGGCTCCGGCTCCCCATCCACCGGAGTGAGTGCCCGCCCGCGGGGAGGCGGGAGGCGCGGGGAGCTGGTGCGGCTCCGGGTGGCGCTCCGCCCGGCGTCCTCGGAACCGGGGAGGCTGTACCGGCCAGGGCGCACCCCGGCGGCCCAGCCTCGCTCAGAGCCGGTTCTGCATCGTCCCCGGGCCTCGCCCCCGACTCCGGAGGCAGCAGCAGCCGCGGGACCCCCGGCACCTCCGTGCGCTGCGCCGCCGCTCGGCGCCCCCAGAGCGGAGCGCGGACCCCGGCCCCGGAGCCGCCGCCCCGTCCGCGCCCCCAACTTTCCGGGGCTCCGCGATCTCGGAGGGCGGAGAGGGGTCCCGGACTGGGGCGCCGGCGCCTCCGCACCCGGATGCCTGCTGAGCCTGCGGTGAGCCGGGCGCCCCCTGGACCCGGCCCGGGGCGGGGAGGGGAGAGGCCGGGGACGGGCGGTAGCCCCGGGGGACCCCCCTTTCTTCCCGGCACCACCCCCAGAGGCAGGGTCACCCTCCGCGGCTGCCCCGCTGGGAGGGGAGAGGGGACCTCGGGGGCCGGGTCCCTGGAGAAGCCCCAGCACCGCCTCCAGCACCCCCTCCGGGGACCCCGGGGTCCCGCGCCCTTGGCGGCGGCGGCCAGATCCCCAGGAGGCGAGGGCGCGGCGGCCGGTCCCGGAGGAGCCGCTCCCGGCTCCGCGAGGCGCTAATTCAATCAGACACAGAGCGGAGTTCAGAAATCCTGGTGAAATCTAATTTTCGGGTTTTAATACCCTGGCTATCAGCCCCCCTCGGCTCCGAGGACTCTTAAAAGAAAATAAAGCGCATCGATCCGATTTGTTTCGGGGGCTGCAGTTTCTTAATAACAGCAGGTGAGATTCTTTTCCGGGGAGAAGCCGTTCCTCTGGATTCAAGCTCTTCCTCTGAAATTCCCCGCCGCCGGCTCCCCTCCGGCTCTCCGCCTCCCCATTCCCATCCTGATCCCGATCCGATCCGGGAGTGTGGTCCCTCCGCCCCCTCCCTGTTTTGCTTTTTGGCAAAAAGGACTGTCATGTTCTCTTGCTGAGTTCACAACTCCCCTACGGCGGCGCCCAATTGATGGACTAGTTGTAAACATATCCATTACCCGGATTTGGTTGTTGTCCGCCCCATTTTCCAGGGAATGCGTGGCAAGGAAGCCAACAGAACTGCCATGCCATGCGGGGACTGGATGTGCCAGTGGCCCGGGCGCTGCCTGCCCCGGCCTCCCCCCCCCCCTCGTGCCCACCGGCGCCCGCCCCGCCTGTCCCGCAGGTGCAGGAGCCGGAGCTGTCCGGGGAGCCCCTACCTGTTAGGGAACCGCTGGGACGGGGCTGGAAGGATGCACTGGGGACCCGCTGCCTTCGGGGCGGCACAAAGCTCACTTGGGTAGAAGCATCCAAGCCTTTGCAGGCCGCGCTTATTTTATTTTTACTACAGTTTCTCGGGTTGTAAAAATAGTCGCCAGGCGGGTTCTCTGGGAGAGTTTTCCAGCCAGGAGCGGATTCAAGGCCGGGCAGCCTCGATAGCAGGTTTCTCTTAACGGCCAGCGGTGCGCCGGGAAAACGCAGCCCCCTCCCCCTCATCCATCTCCATTGAGCGGCTCCAGCCAGCCCGGGGCAGGGGCCGCCTCCTTAATTCAGATTTACGACCGGCCCAGCTCAGGGCGCTGGCTGCTGAGTGGCCAGGCCCCGGGGACCATGCCGGCCCTCCCAGTGTGTCCGATGGGCAGGAGTGCGATTGTGTCTGGGAGGAGAATGGGGTTTGGTGGACACGAGCTGACCCCTCAGGGGCCCTCTGGGTACAGTGGCTGGAGCGATGTCCATGTCGGGGAGCCTGGCTGGCTCGCACCTGCCGCAGCCCTTGGGGGACTTAGCAGCCATTACTGCCGACATGAGAACGGGATCCTTAGTAAGGCAGGGCCCCTGCTGTGACTCACCGCGGTGACCTTTGCCCCTCTGGCTCCCGTTTCTGGCTGGACTCCCCCCGGTGATGTATCTGCCCCCCGCCTGGAGCACAGCACATCATCCGGCTCTCGTGTTTCGCAATAGGACATCCGTATTAGTCACATCTATTTGGGCTTTTTAAGATAATTGCCAGGAGCTTAAAATAGGAAAGCCATAATCATAATAGGGATCCGTTTGTAAACAGGCCCTCCACGGATGGTTTGCAAACTGTTGGCCTCGATCAGAAAATCCAAATGACAGAGTGCTGTCACTTCTGTCCAAGTCTTCCCGTCCCTCGTTCCTCCGTGTGGGACCCAACACGCCCGCCTCCGAGCGCGGAGCGGCGTGTGTTCCACCTGGGCCCTCGGTCCACCTGTCCCCACAGCCCCATCTCCGCGCTGACGTTTTGACCGGTCCATCAGGGTATTTTAAAGCCACCGTTCTCTCTCTGCTGCTGGGGACGTTTTTTAGGGAGTCGCCGACCCCAAGCAAGGGCACCTGTGCCGGCCTGACGCCCCCATCCGGGGAGGAGAAGACGCAGCACCTTTTCCATAGTGTGCAGCTCCGATATTAATAAAAATAACCCAGTTTCCTCCGGAGGCCTCGCTAATGCAGCCTCATTCTTTGCACATTTTTGCCAGCGAGCTTTGTTCTTCTACGTCTCCGTCCCCCCTTCCTCTCCGTTTAATTTGTTGCAGGTGTTGTGGCTAATGAGCTCTCGTTCCCTCTTACAATGAGAGACCAGCCAGACCCCGGGTCCCCGCACGGACGGAGCTGAAGGCCCAGAAACTTCCTAATAAGTTGCCCATGGCTACCGGCCAAGGTCAGCCATGGCTCCACCGAGACAGAGCCAAATAACCGCCCCCGGTTAGCACCTCGGCCGCTTTTTTTATGTGCCAGTCCAGCCGCACAGCCGCGGTCACTTTCAACTCACATGAAAGGAAACCCTTTCACGGGCCTGAGACCCCACGTCCAGTCCCGCGGAGGGACGGGGCTCCCAGCACACGCGTCCACCCCCTGATTCCGTTTTATCTCTACACAGGCCAGAGGGCTGTTTTGCAGGCGTGGCGAGCACATCGCACACGAAGGGCCTTTTAAAGCCCGGGACTGGCTGGAAGGACAGAAGCTAAAGGCGCGCTGAGCCGGCCCCATGCCAGGTCCCCGCGGATCGCCTCCCTATCCCGTTTCCACCCGCTGTCACCGCCGGAGCGCCCGCCGTTGTTGATCATGTTCCCCTGCGGGAGAGGTGGAATGCCAAGGTCAGGAGGACTCCGAGGGATGGGCCACTGTCTGATCTGCCCATCAGCAGTCTGAGAAACGCTGGCTCTGAGCTTTCCTCCCGGCCTTTGGAGAAAGCAAGTTCCTCGCTGTTCCTGGCCGCGCCGTGCCGGGACCTCCGCCTCCGCCGCCTCCACGCCCGGCAGATGAGGCCTTTCCATGCGGAGGCCTCCAGTCCCGCCTGACCCAGCCACCGCTCCAGGGCCCCTCGGGGCGCCCCCCGGCCTGCGCAGCCATGCTGGGCCTGCTGGCTCTCCTCCTGCACTGCCTCCCGCTGGCTGCCGGGGACTATGACATCTGCAAGTCCTGGGTGACCTCGGACGAGGGCCCCACCTGGGAGTTCTACGCCTGCCAGCCCAAGGCCATGCGCCTGAAGGACTATGTCAAGGTGAAGGTGGAGCCCAAGGGCATCACGTGCGGAGACCCCCCGGAGAGGTTCTGCTCCCACGTAAGTCAGCCCACGGGGCTCTGCTTGCTCAGCCAATGGGGGCGTCGGGGACAGACCCCGGGAATGGGTGAGCATGGTTGGGGGGGCCCTCCTTGGAAACGTGCCAACGCGAAGGCCGCCCTGAGGACCCTGGGGTCATGTGACTTATTATCTGGGGTTGGGGGGGTCTTGCCCAGGGGATCGCTAGATCCTCTTCTCTTGGGAAAACCATTGTCGTCCCAGACCCAGCCTCCCAGACAAGCCCCGCCCACCAGACAAGCCCCGCCCCCCTGGTAGGAAGTCCGCATTCTGGGCCAGTGAGCAAGGCTACCTGCTGCCCTCCTGTCAGCCTCCCAGCGTCCTATCCCACCTGATCCAATCCAGCAAGCAGTGCAGCCAGGCCAGGGTGTGCCACGCCCACAGCTGGCACTTCGCGGTGGGCAGGGGGAGTGGGGGTAGGGTTGTGATAGGAGGACAGAGGGCCCTTTTCAGTTCCATCCCCTGTGCCACAGGGTATGTGAGTGCTCGGGTAACGTTACAACAGTAATAATAGCAGGGGTCATTTACACAGGCTATGCCCCCATCTGTGAAAGGGGCACACGGATAGCACACTCCGGTCACTGGAAGGAATGCGTGAGCTACTTTGTATGTGTGAAGTGCTCGGGCTAGTGTCTGGCACAGGGCGCGTGCCCCCTAGATGTTAGCGGTTGCCATTCTCACCATACAGATGGAGAAACTGAGGCCCACACTCTCACACCAGAGAGTATTCTGGTCCGCAAGTCACTGAGCTGAACCGCCGTCTGAGAATGCCTTCCCGCTGGGCTTGCTCCGGAAGCCCCGGGCCTGGCAGGGGCCGGGCAGGGCGGCCAGGCCGCGGGAGCTCACGGGAGGGCTCAGCACCGGCCTCTGTGTCCTTGGGGGAGGGCCTCCCTGCCCCCCCATCTCTGGGTTTATGGCTGGACTGAGCTGGCGTCCCTGCAGGCTCCCGCGGAGGCTCGGTCCCCAGGGATGCTTCCGTCCTCTGCCAGGGCAGCCGGCCAGGCAGGTCGGTCCCCGCTCGGCGGTGAAGTCGTGAGCTGTCACTGTGGCAGCACCGGGCTGGGGAGGAGGGACAGCGGGAAGGCTGGGAGCTGGGGCTGCAGCGTCTGTGGGGATCAGGGCACTGGGGACCCCAGAGCGGCACTGGCAAGGAGGCTGGTCCCTGAGGGTCAGGGGCAAGGCCGGGGGGACCCCAGCTCCGTGTCCGCACCCCAGGCTGGCTGCCCACCCAGCTCAGGTGAGGACTTCTGTGAATGCTCCCCGGGCAGTTAGCCTCTGCCTCTCAGATTAGTCTTAACCGTATTTCTCCTCTTAAATATTTATCATTTCCTTAAAGTACTGGCGGGGGAGGGCAGGCCGCTCAGTCGTCATTCCCTGGAGCAGCTGTGGTCAAGGCCTGCAGGAGAGGGGATGACCATCGCCTGCAAGCCCACGGCCTCTCCTGACCAAGGCGGCCGGGTGCCCATGGCCCTGGACCTCAGCCCTCCGCAGAGAGCCCAGCACAGCTGCCCAGGTGACGGGTCACCCTCACAGTCCTGAGGCCCAGCAGCCTGAGTCCAGGCAGGTGCCCGGGAGCCCTGGGCTTGGGAAGAGGCTTCCGGCCCCCGCTTTCCTCCTGGGGTGAGGGAGGAGGCAGGGGAGGAGAAGGGCGCCCAGCACCCCCTCCTCGCGGGTCCTTGGTGTCTCGCCTCCGGTCTGATGGACGTAGCTGCTTCATGCCAGGCGGCCGGCGGCTCTGTCTTTGGTGACAGACGTGCGGCCCAGGAGGGTGGGGACGCTGCCATGTTGGGTGGAGGGCAGGCTGCCTTGGGCAGGGGCCTGGCCTCTGCAGGGAGGAGGTCCCCCCCAGATGGATTCCACCCCCCACACCCCCTAGCTGGTTGCAGCTCCTCCAGCAGGGCCTGCTGTCTCTCAGACACGGTGGCGCAGGCACCATCCTAATCCCAGTCCAGGGATTAGAGGTTTTACCTAAATCCTGCCAAGGTCACTGGGGCTGGGAGGCAGCTGGGAACCCACCCCCCAGGCGGCTGGCTCTCCCCTCTCCCCACTGAGGGCTCCTGCTGTGCCATGGTGCTGGGCAAGGACGCAGCCCGCCGAATGCCCAGGGTGCAGTGCTGGCACCCGGTAGGCGCTCAGGGTGCGGTACTGTTATTTGCTTCCATTGTTGTTGTTATGCCCTTGGCGGCTTCCCTGTCTTTTTTTCTTTGCCTCACTCTTGCCAGGAGCATTTCCAGAGTCAGAGCAGGCAGCTCCAACCCCTCCAGCCCAGCAAGGGCTGTTAACCGACCACCAGGGGGCGCCCCAATGACAGCCAGGCTGCCCACTGCCCCCTTAACCCAGCCATGGCCCAGTGGGCCCCTCTTCCCAGGCAGCCCCCCTGCAGTGAGTGCTGGGCTGTCCCAAGATCCAGCCACCAGGAGCCTGAGCCCCAGAGCACCCTGAGAGTGAAGGGGGCAGGGCCAGCGGAAGCTGCTCTTTTCAAGGTTCAGGGTGCACACCCTCTCCGCCCAGGCTTTGTCCTTCAGCAAAGCCCCCTGAGAACCGCATTGTAAATTCCAGCCGGTGAGGAGGGGAGGGAGAAGGAAGACCAAGATAAATGAGTAAACAGAAGCCTATGGCTCTAAGTGCACAATGAGAATTAATAGGGGTGCGCGGCCCGCTGAGGGCTCTTGGGCGAGACAAGGTTTCAACCAGCCTGCTGGGGAGGAGATGCCCCCAGCCCTCACTCCCAGCCCGGCCTGGGGCCCAGGAGAGGCGGGGGGGGGGGGCGGGAGAGGCTTCTCGGTCCTGGGGGGCAGCCGCTTGGACCCCGATGGGATGGGGGTGCAGTGGGCACAAGGAGCATGCTCCCCAAGAGATGGCAGCTGCCGAGAAAGGAAGGGGGAACCTTCCCCTGTCTTTGAGACAGAAGCCAGCCCTGAGCTCCAGGAGGGAGATGGGGCGTGGGGTGGGCATAGCACCAGCCACAGCAGGCAGGTGGTGCTCACAGCCACCCCACAGCTCCCCACGTGCGACCCGAGTGTAGGCCTGGGCTCGGCAGCCTGGCTCCTCGCTGGGCGTGCAGAGTGCCCACCCGCCTGCGGACAGGGATGCAGGCGGGCGTGGCCTGGAGATGCCGGCCAGTGTCCCGATGGCTGATGGTCCTTGGATCTTTCCAGCTAAGGGGGCGGTCGCTGCTGAGGGAGAAACGCACAGAGTGCAGGGGCCTGGGGCTGAGCGGACGGAGCTGGGAGCGGAGACCCCTGCATGCTGGAGACAGGTAGAAGGTTCCAGAGAGAGGAGGCCTGATACCCCAGCAAGAGCCACAGGCCTGGGATCTGAAGACTGAGCCCGCATCCCGGCTTTGGCACTCCACTGGGGCTGGTGACCTGGGCGAGTCTGAAGCTGCCGGAGCCTCCATTTCCCCGTCTGCGATGAGGGACAGCGGTGGCTGGGCCCTCCCCACCACCTCCTCTCAGAACTCCTCCTGCCCATGGAGGGCGTACGCTCTGATCCCCCTGAGGCTTCCTGCTCCCGCCCACTCGGGCTTTTGTCTAATAGTTTCTAAAGATTTCAGAGAGGCCGAGAGAGAGAGAGAGAGAGAGAGAGAGAGAGAGAGAGAGAGAGAAACATCGATGAGAGAAACATCGGTCGGCTGCCTCCTGCTGCCCCCTACTGGGGATCAAACGCACAATCCGGGCGTGACCTCCTGGTTCGTAGGTCAATGCTCATTCACCCAATCTCGACAGTCCTGCTCCTCCCACGGGGACACGGATGGCCTTGCACGGCGTGTGAGGGCGCTAGCACACAGGGGCTTGGTCTGGTGGACGGGAAAGCCGTGACAGCACAACTCTAAGCACACACCTCCCTCAACCCCTGCTTTCCCTTCTCTTGCCTCAGTTTACCCAGATGCAGAGCAAATGGCCCTCATCCTTCCCCCAGGCCCAGGGGTCTGCTCAGCTGGTTAACGCAGGGGCCAGGTGGGCCTTGGAGGCCTCACGTCCCTCCCCACGTGACATTGAGCACCATGTGGTGCCCCACCTCCTGCCCGACCTCCACATTCAGACAGTGTTTCCGAGGTGACCAGCCCCCTCCCCGCGCTCCCCCTGGCCCAAGCCCACAGAGGAGAGTGGGGGCACCCTCCCTCTCAGCCTCCCTCCCTCCTTCCGGCGTCCCTCCCAACCTCCCTTCCTCCCTCTGGCGCCCCTCCCCAGTCCTAGACCTGAGGTCTGACCTCACATCAGGCAGGAGTTGGGAGGAAAAGGGAGATAACTCTTGCAAATCCAAGTCAGCAACGAGAGACACGAAACGGACGTTAGAGACAAAGGCCTCCCGGCTCCCCTCCCGCCATTTCCCCTCCTGGCCTGTCTCCTTCTCCTCCGCCTTCCGTTGCTTCCTCGCTTCTGAGGCTTCTCCGTGTGCCCAGGCTCCCTTGTGTACCCGCATCACCTGTGCCCGGGCTCCCCGTGTACCCGCATCACCTGTGCCTGGGCTCCCCGTGTACCCGCATCACCTGTGCCCGGGCTCCCCGTGTACCCACCTGTGCCTGTGCTCCCCGTGTACCCGCATGACCTGTGCCCGTGCTCCCCGTGTACCCGCATGACCTGTGCCCGTGCTCCCCGTGTACCCGCATGACCTGTGCCCGTGCTCCCCGTGTACCCGCATGACCTGTGCCCGGGCTCCCCGTGTACCCGCATCACCTGTGCCTGGGCTCCCCGTGTACCCACCTGTGCCTGTGCTCCCCGTGTGCCCGCATGACCTGTGCCCGGGCTCCCCGTGTACCCGCATCACCTGTGCTGTGCTCCCCGTGTACCCGCATCACCTGTGCCCGGGCTCCCCGTGTACCCGCATCACCTGTGCCCGGGCTCCCCGTGTACCTGCATCACCTGTGCCCGGGCTCCCCACCCTCAGCGCAGGGGGTGAGCGCACCCCACCTGGGCACCTCCCGTCATGGTTCTCAGGGAGGCGGCCCATTGGGTAGGAGTTTGGGCCCCGAGGGCACA